CAGACCCCCATTCCGCGAGTTTGTCCGTGAAATTGCAGCAGATATATATGGTGATCTTCGATTTCAAGCATCTGCAATTCTGGCTTTGCAGGAGGCTGCAGAGGCGGTTTTGATTGATGAATTCACAAGTAAGAAATGACTGGATTTTACAAGCTAATCTACTAATCATTATACTAATCAATGAGATGTTAGTGACAAATCTATGCGCCATCCATGCCAAACGTGTTACCATCCAGGAAAGGGATATGAAATTGGTGCAGAGGTTGCGACAAATCATGACAGGCAGTCGCATCCCAGGACGTGGAAATGGTTATTAGTAGTTTTCACTTTTTTCACTTTTTTTGATTTTTCATTTTGATTTTTTGATGATATCCAGGAAAATGATTGTTTTTTGATTGTTTTTTTGATTTGATTTTTTTCTTAGCTTAATCAGAATGAAATGAGATGTTTCTGCAACAGACAAATCCTCATATAAATCTCTATTGGTGAGTGTCTATAAGTGGAATTAAGTAATTACAGTGGAAAAACACAAAAAAACCCATTTGACCCAAATGTCACTATAGGCTGCCGTATTCAGGCTAAAAATTTGTTTAACATCAACGGAAACAACAAGTCTAGAAATATCAGCCTGCTCGGTAATACCGGCTTGGAATGTATTGAAAAGAATTCCCCTACTTCACCCGTCTACCTTATTAATAATATCTCCTTTAGACTGATCAGATAATCTACTTTTCCCTTCCCAAGACAAGGTCTCTTAGCTGAGGTGGCCAGAGTCAACCAGCTGCACGGCACGAAGAACCCTTACAGCCATTTCCATAAAAATACTGTCTTGATCGGCTTAAGAACAGTGCAGCACTTAATCTCCAAGTCTCAAAGTTACAATGTCTGTTTGGTGTTGTTTTCCTCTTTAAACTTTTACATATGGTGGAGACCTCATAATGATATATACCTATATACTGATGATAAGAACAGTATTCTAAATAATTCGTCGCTGGATATGTGCTGCATTGTGTTGTTGATTAGCGATTTAAGACACCATCACTGTCTTGTACGCGGGCTAACTTGATCAAGAGGGCCTCTTGCGCTTAGTTTGCATTTTTACACATAAATATTCTTTTATTCTATGCTCCTTGGGGTTATCGTGGTGATATCATTATTGCTAGATTGGGCTTGATATTAAAAAGTAGAGATTACCATTTGCCAAGTTATGGAGGTCCTGCGTCCTGTATTTCATGTATGTTTGGTGACCAGTGGAACGAAGGAGCGGTACTCTTCTGGCGTTTGCCTTTTTGGACTCTTTAAACTATTTCTTACGTGCATCACCAGATATGTCTGTGAAAATTCCTGGATTTGTAGGTAAGGGGAGGGGGGAGTTTTTGAGGTTGATGTAAATGTCTTGAGAGGTTAAAATCTAAAAAGTTGCAGTGCAACCAAAAATAAGGTAGAGTAGGATATACATCATAGAGATGGAATATATACATAAAGAAATAACAATAAAATTAATAGAACGGAAGAGGTTATATATGGAAAATTATGAGTCCATACATCTCAAAGAGAGGGCTGAAAGAAAGCACCATCAAAACTCGATGTCAGGAAAACATCTCTAAGGTTCTGACTCGGGACTTGGGAGATCTTCTGTAAAACCGGACACATATCCCCTTCTTGGTGAACTTCGCTCCTCAGTGATCAGAGCGTTGCTAAGGGAAACGTGGAAGCCGGTACTCGAGAGAGAGGAGTGATTCCGCCCATGGATAGGCTGTGAGGGTAAGTAGGTAGGATTTGGCTGGGGCGATGACGACTCAGGAGAAACTGGGCTCGTGAAGGTTGGATTATCACTACCTTCTTGTGTATGGTACGAGGCGGGAGCAACGTTGTATTCGGTTGGTAGTTCAAGGGGTGCAAAAATATGGCCAGCTGGAGTGAAACAAGTTAGTGAATGAAGCCGACTTTGAAAATGCTACGCTCGAAACAGGAGTAATTAAAAAAAAAAAAAAAAAAAAAAAAACCGGAGGAAAGTTGGGGGGGGTTTGGTTTTTGGTGATGCGTACCGTGCATTTCATGGACCTGGATGCCGTCAGCCTCTTGCGCATTAGGATCTGAATGTACAACGCCTGATTGTTGATGCGAAGATGTAAATAGGTCTCCAGCTTCGGAGATACCAGATGCAGATGTATGTTTATCATTGATTCCAATTTCCGTAGAGGCTGTTGTCATATTCGTTTTTTGAGCCGGGAAGCCAATTCCATACATCCATCCCATGATCCGCTTTCTGTTATCGCTGGTGGCCCCTTCGCTGGTTGCATAAGTTCTATCTCGTCGTCGACGCCAAAGCAACCAAAGAACAGCCAGACCCGTGACGAATATGAGACCCAAAACGACCCCTAAAACAGGAGCTACCCATTTTGGAAGTCCATTACCACCATCCCCATAATTCTCGGGAGAGGGAGCAGGATTTCGCCCTGATGCGTTCTGTACTGCGTAGGGGTAGTATGTTTTTATGGATTTTGTATACTTTGTGCGGAATAAATCACGTAAACTGTCATCAGCCCACGATGAGGGTTCAACAGTTGAAGCGCCGCCCTTGGCACTAAACGAAAGGTCAGTGTCTGTCCAGAATCAAGGAAAACATTGTTCAACAAGAAAGTTCTTACTTTCCACCAATTTTAGCGGTTACCAGATCGGGTATTTCATACTCTCTCAATTCCGAGGGATGATACGTATTTTGGAATTTTAAAGTGTTCAGGTTGAAAACCTGAATGGGATCTAGGCATGAAGTTGGAGAGAGATCATCCCGACCTCCGAGAACAAACATCTTGTCGGGATGTGGTTTGATACACTTGTGGCCGTAACGACCTCTTTTCCTTCTCCCATCGTAGGCGTGTATCCACGTGAATGAAGGGACTGAAAGAATATAAACATCGTCGATTGGTATATCTAGTCGGGAGTTGCCGCTGTAGCCTCCATATATATAAATGTTGTACGAGCTACCATCCTGTGCTGCAGCCACTATAGAGCAAAATTGAGATAACTGCGGTGGATGATCTCCTGTTGTATCCTGCATATACCTGAGAGTATAGTTAGTCACCAGAGTTACAATGGTCATACCAATGGCACTTCGAAATTATGCTTGAAAACAAAGCACCCACCATTTTCGAGTATCAATATCATAAACAGGGACACTGCGCATGAATCCAGGTGCTGTTCGGTTCTATGAATAGTCAGCCGCAAATATACGAGTTGGTTCCATGTGGAAAGCAGGGTTTTCCACCAGACCTACATTTTCTTGTTGCTGACTTTCTGTCAATCCATGTAGAACATCTACCGGATAGATTACTCCTCCAACGGCTATGAGTAACCCCGAGACAGAGACAGGAATCCAAACCAATTCTGCATTTACCCTACCGGGGATACTATCGAATAAAGTAGAATTATCCCATATAGGGGCTCTCATTATTGACATATCCACGGTGATGAGAGAGTTTGCCGTGACATTTGGAGGCGGGCCAGTTGTACCAATTTCTCCCCAATTTGTCCCTCGAATACCGCTAAAGTAAAAGGCTTTATTCTCGCTTGGCACTGAGATGCCCGCGCCATTAGAGACAAACGGCGTTATGTTTTTGAGGTCTTCAAATAGAAAACCGGGAGTCCACGATGTGGCAGGAGGGCCATATTGATCACGCTCATATGAAAGGATTCGGCCCTTATCAGGAGTGCTTAAGAAGTCGCTCAACTTAGGGAGACCTCTATTTCGGTTAGCTACAGAGCAACAATTGCTAAAAGTTGAATACTTCACCCATACCCGTATAAGTAGAATTTGTTATCATTTGCAAGCATAGTCCCATGAATAACAGGGGGAGCAAAATTATTCGTAGTCGGCAAGCGGTCAAACAATCCCGTTAAGTTGGTATTGGCTGTGTCAAAAGGGGCAGCAAGGTTCAGGAGGAAGGTTTGGCCCCGGGGATCGGCTGCTTCGGTGTTAGAAATTACAAGATGATGGAATCTACTGTCCATGGGGAGGTGGTATACTTACGGGCGGCATCAGGAGCCCCATAAGTTCCATCGGTAAACCCTCTAAGAAGAAAGAAATTAGCATAAAAACGCAGTCAACTTTAAATAGCTCAAGTTCACGTACCGGCGTCCCCAAGACACCCCACCATCGAGGTAAATTTTATCGCGAATGAGATTTGCTAGATCAAGTAATCAATAAAGAGGTAGTAACCAAATGTGGCAGAGAGGGAATTGAATCCGGGATGTCGGCCTGTCTAAACATTGAGAATCATAAATAACTCACCTCGAAAGTGGTACCAAGCGCATATACTGTAATTGACTTGATTTTGAAATGTCTGACTAGCAACACCCTTAAGCAGACCAAGCAATATGCTTACCGCGGCGACGAAGAAGAGAGCCATGATGGTCGAGGTTGACGATTTGAAGAAGTGTTCACGGTCATTGAAACAACGATAAGACTATGAAAGAGCAGTAATTGAAAAGCAGTATCTAATTCCAATCAGGATGGATCGTAACATTTGGTGTTTACTTATTAGGATCCACCTTAATGATCCGTCCAAAAGATAATATTTGGGATCCAGAAGAGACAGTTGGGGTTCGCCCCAGATGCGAATAGCAGTGATCGGTTTCGAGATAAAGAAAAGGTCCAGCAGATTCTATGCTGTGTGCGCTTTTCTTATTATATTCCAGTTTCCGATGCTTTGTGGTGCTTGCTCTGCGCAACGGGATTTGTTGGAGAAAGCGAGGCAGCTGGAATGCAAGGATCAAATGGAACAACGGCAGCCAGTACTTTGAATTTTAACTTGAATATATGTCTTCTCAGCCGGAGGTGCCACAAGAGAATCAAAATCGCTTCAAGCCCTCTCGCAATAACTCAGAAAGAATCCTGTCGTTGACAGCCACACGCAAAAGAAAATTGAAAAATTAAAAAATAAAAATAAAATAAAAAGGAAGAAGAGTTGATTGCCAGTAAAATGGCTTGCACTCTTCCTCTTCGTTCTGGTTCGAAAGACCCGGACCAATAATGATCTGGATAAACCTCATTCGCTCGAATAGGGCGAGGTGAATCAACTTTCTGGTAAGCACAAATAAAAAGAACCACTGCGTAGATGATAGTGGGGAACAAGTAGTTGTGATGGATGGGATTGCCGGACTCTTCCTCTCGCTTGCTGGCTGCTGGTTGGGATGGGAGGCTCTGCCAGTCCATAAGGGTGGCGGGGGACTGTGGGAGACGTGGTAGACTGCTTGCTGATTCTAAGACGGGCGGTTGAGGCTGTTGTATCCTCTGCCGCTTTTCCACTGCCATCCAGGGATGTTTGTCCTTGTGGCTTTGTCCTCTGATGGGGGTATCCATGGCAGGACAGCTTTGATAGGCTCATCAAAATCTACGGCTTTGGTGCAACCAAGCTAACCACTTTTTGGGCTCGTATCAATGAAACACTCCGCTCCAGCTGTGTGCGGACTGGATGAGGTGAACTTTAATATGAATGTGATTTGTCTTTGCAAAGAGTTGAATAATACCTCAAGAAGGAATCAACTTTCGAGTCCAGAGTAATCAAGAAATATTCAAGATAAATGGGGGTATCTTGACAGAGGGTAATACTCAGCTTCAACTTTCAAGAAGTTACTAAGATCCATCCTGTTGCTTTTTGAGGGGACTATGGGTGTAACTTGTCCTCTGCCACCCCACACCAAGCACTTTTACAAAGGAATGCGATAGCCAATGCTAGAGGATTGGGCTTCCCATGAAATGAAATATTGTAAAAGCAGGTGTTGTTCTCTGCACATAGTTTGGGATCCAACCAAGCTGTATTTTGTTTTGTTCTTGTTCTCCTTGAGATTCTGGGGGAAGGGGGGGGTGGGGGGGGGGAAAGAAACTTGGAACCAAGCAAGTAAGCTCTGTATTGTGAATACCTGGATAATATGTGCTCAGTGATTCGTAGGCGCAGAGCCTACCTCATAACGACCTCATCCATAAATACCGAATTCCAGTTATATTTCCCGGTGCAGACGACAACCAAGCACCTCTTAACAGAAGGTTCTGGTTGTTCTTTATCATCTCGTTCCCTCTTTACTCATATTGATCCGCTTACTTTCTCAATAGTTATATTCTTTCATGTGTATGTATCCCGTACGATTACAGAGCTAATTATTTATCAAAGACATTTGATAGTATGAGCCTAGAGGCCGTCATGGATGTCCAAATTTCGCCGAAGATGATATTAGTGCGGAGGGGGCTTCTTTCTCTAGGCTCATTAGAGTTTCAGGCTATGATTGTCAATGATTGCCAATCATCAGCATGTGAGATGAAAATGTACACACTTCGCACTTCACGGACGGACTCCAACACGGTTAACATGTTAGTGGTGTTTAAATAGGGAGTACCTATGTAAGGTAATTGTTGTTTGAGAGATATAGTATGTACGAAAGCGTGGCCCTGCATTGCCGTTACTGGGATGAAGCGTTGGGCAGTATCCGTTGATGCTGCTGACTTGTCAGAAGTTGCTGTCCATTGCTAGCATTCCCCTCGATTTAAAAAGGATATTCTTGTGTGCGAAGTAACATTCCAGGATGTCAAGTAGTTATTGCTCCGCAGAGTGAAGGATAATTAATAAATGTCCCAGGGCCAGGCGACATGGTTCTCTGAGGACGATAGCAGACTTGGAAGCGAGAGATTTAAATGCCAGGACGTCGACGTGCGGGAGGATGAATAGATAAATGAATGTGCGAATATCCTGTGTGTTTGTGCTCCGTTTGAATAATGTCAACCCATGGAATACTTGGTTAGTCCATATCACTAAGGACCTAGTAAATGAAACTTTGATTCCCAAGCCTTCCCTTCACTCATTTTCGGGATAACTTAATCTGTTTCTAAATTTAGAATCTCTTCCAAAGACATGAATTTAGGTTCCTGGTTTTGTGAGTGGTTCGTAGTTGGCCAATGGCGACTTAAGAAAGTCTTGTAGAGAACAAAGGCTGCCGAAAACAAGTACGAGCAAAGTTCCATAAGGGCCCAGCGGGCCAAGTGGACCCCCGGCGGCGCCCCCCAGCATTGCCCATCGGCGGTCATCGATCTGGGTTGATCTAGCAATAGATCGATTCCTGTCCTAAGGGCATGGAACCAACCGTATAGCTCTGGCAGTAATGGGATCAAATACGTAAACTAAGTCAATCTCCACTCCCCGCGACCATGAGGCAAAACAAGCCTTAACCTAACTACCTGTGGTTCAACTGTCATTCATGAATTATTTATTCAGGGGTTCGGGGATGTGCAGCAAGGGCAGTCTTCGGAATTTTGAAGGTGCCATTGCATTCACTATCCCGCCCAATTAGAGTTGAACCTACGCACCAACATTGTTTGGTTGTCTTAGAAACCCCCGTTGGAATGAAAGGTTATTATTTAGGAAATTCTTACGAAATAATTTATTTCCGTACGGAATAACTTAGCTAACAATTGTTGTTGCGGAGTTAAGATTTCTTGTGAATGGGTGGTTCTTCTTCAGTTTCAGCAATAGTTAATAGGTAGTTTAACTACGTCATTCACCGCAGGCCTCGTGGATACTAAGCCTATGTGGACAAACCTTGACAGAAAATAAGGTTCCATGTGCACCGAACACTTCTATGGAGAAGTTACTTATGGGTGACATTTTCCCACAGAGAAGATCCTTCTTGATTCACGTTTGGCATTTCAGGAACAAACTTTTCTTCTAAATTAGATAATGAATGAATGACTGTTCTGTCCCTGCCATCATCCTGGGCAGCATGGAATCTCGTTAATAATGGATGGGATGTACAGTTTGTTAGGACAGACATTGGCCTACATACATCAAGATTCAAAAGATTATTGAGATTTTTCCCCCCAGATTCAGATAGTTACGGGCTGCTGGAAAACACATGTTCAGCCTCAAGCTTCTTGGCATTCTACGTGTTCCCGCACCGTCAAGTCGCAAGTAACGGGCACGGGAGGAAGGGGTTGAGATCACTGATCTCATAGACAGCCTGCTGCGGTACAGATTTTGGCTACTACTGGGCTGCTAGTAGTGGTAGTGGTAGGAAGAGGAGCAGCAATAGGCTAGGAGCTGATGCTGTCAAGTCAAGGTATAAAACTCATCGAGATGTGGTTCTATATATGGTCATGCTTGATCCTTATCAATAATCCAAGGTTTTTCTAATAATAATAACAGATCTCAGTTTACAGCTCTCACTCCATCTGTTCCTTGCCACGTCCATCCTTGATGCGCCAGGCTGCAGCTAAAGTCTGGGCGTCTCTGTTTTTCATCCAGCCCCTCGAGTCAATAATGGTTTCCGTTTATTGTACGATACGAAAACTTTGCGAGCTTTTTCATTTTCATCGTCCAGAGAGAAATCCCATCAGATTGGACAGCATCATTTGTTCTCATTCTGCTTCGCTGAACACGCAGGTGCGATTTGGTGTTTATGCACTTAAACCCAAATTACCTTTCCTCCGCCCTTAATTTCCAGGAATGTTATCAGAGGTCATTCTGTTCTCTCTCTCCCTGAAATATAATTTGTTCTGCGGATTCTGCTCGAAGGTCCGTGCAGGCAGGCTGTTCTAACTTCTGGCCGAATGCGAGCCTGATTGATCCAATGATGTTGATCATCCACTTTCTCAAGCGAGTTATCCCTGCTGGTGCCTTAACAGGGATTTATCGGTGCTGTCAAAAAGTCTCAATCAAGCTCAAGCCAATGATAAGCTTTCCCACCTTGGCGAATGCGGATTTGTCGGACGGTTCGCTGAGATAAAGTCACATTGAACAGGATGCCTATCGTACGTTTATCTTCCTGGCTGGAGGTCGGGTGCTCTCCTTAGATTATGCCTTGTCTCGGATAAGTAATGCAAGTAATAGCCATAGGTACCAGCCTGGACATCATATTTTATTAAAGCCGTTATATTTGTTGCTGTCCGGTTTTTCTCCTCAAGAACCCTATTCCCTTCATCTTTTGTTGCCCTGTGTATTTTTCTTCTGGCCCCCGACACATTGTTCTCGAGTCATTCTCCCAAATTAACGACTCGATTCTCTTTTCTTCCCCAAAGCATTTTAACTCCAAAACATACCGTCATACACTTAGCAACCTTTTTCCCTCCTTCGCGCTGGAGCTCTATATGTTGTTTTTTTTGTTAAAGTTTTTCATTGACTCTCCGTTCGCGGGCGACAGCCTGTTGCTGTCCGCTGAACTTTCGCTGTTTGTTGGGGTTTCATAAAAGCATTCGAGATGTGGTTTCTCCTCCCAGCTTTAATCTGCGCCTCTGTGTGTATCATTTCAGGGAATGCCCAAGATGGCTATGTTGGGCCCAGTGGAAGGCTTGACAGAGATGAACCGGATTATCCTGCTTCTGCCGCAGCCACTCCCACAATCACCCAGCTACCACGACCCGGCCAACCCTACGGCGGATACAATTTCGCGCCGCCTCACAGCTACCCTCAACGACCGCCAGTCACTGTAACTGTGACAGATATTTGTAGCTATCCTGAACAGCCGCCAACCACATTAACTGTCACGGATAATTGCAGCTTTCCTGAGCAGCCGCCCATTACCTACACTGTCACTGATGTTTCCAGCTATCCTGAACGGCTGCCGATTACCTTAACCATCCCAGGTAATTGTAGTTATCCGGAACAGCTGCCAGTCACCGTAACAGTAACAGATATTTCCAGCTATCTTGAACGACCGCCGATTACCTTAACCATTCCAGATAATTGCAGTTATTCTGAACAACAACCAATCACCTTAACTGTCTCAGATATTTCCAGTTGTCCTGAGCGGCCGCTGGTTACCATTACAGTCACAGACACAGTGACCCAAAATCGAACAGAGAGGATAACGATTTCTTACATTGATACTATAACCATTTCAAATACTGTGATCATAACTGATGAGGAGACTGTTACCATCACAGATGAAGAAACAATCACCATTCCGAGCACTTTGACAGTTACGGATGAGCAGACAGTTACTGTCACAGATGAAGACACAATCACTATTCCGAGCATTTTGACTGTAACAGATGAACGGACAGTTACTATCATGGATGAAGACACAATCACTATTCCGAGCACTTTGACCGTAATGGATGAAAAGACAGTTACTATCACGGATGAAGAAACAATCGCCTTGCCTACAACGGAAATTTCTGTCACCACATTACCCGGGTCAACTATCACAACAGTGACAATTCTTCCAGGCGCTACGTCTACCATAACAACATATTTACCTGCAAGTACCATCACTCTCTCTAGATCTACAATAACGCTTCTTGGATCTACAATTGTGACAACCACAACAGCTCCCAGCCGAACCGTTACTGCAACGATAACCCATCCCCCCATCGTCAAAACGTTCACATACACGGAGCCCACCACTGCGACTGTGACAAATTCTGTTACTAAGCACGTTACTCCCTGTCCATCCCTTACAGTGAATCCCACTTTTACGCCCTCTGTTGCATATCCGGCAAATTATCTATGGGGCTGTCCTCCAGGTACGCTGTGCAAACCAGATCGCCGCAAAGAGAAGGGCCGTTGCAACGTCGAAGTCGGTTTTCCATCGCTTGGATACTTTTGCAGGCCAGAAGAATGTAAACCGAACCCCCCGTTAATACCACAGTGGTGGGGGAAGCCTGTGGCATCACGGGAAATCGGCGAGTGGGTTGTTTCAGACCACTATTACAATCTGGATCCACGAAAGTTCGGCCTTGGCCTCGATATATTTGTGTTTAAGAATTCAACACCGAAAAATCAGTATCCGACCCGTCCTGCGCTGGCGAGAAAACAAGTTATTAACGTACCGCTTCCTTCTCCTTGTTTTGATGACTGCAATAATGCAGCCCAAGAGTGTTCCAAAGGAAAGGAGCCACGTATCCTTTGTGTTGCAGGTTCAAGGTTCTTCGAATATTTAGGGTATTGTAGGAAGTGTGTTGAAGAACTGAGTGTGAATCCGATTTCGGAGTCTGTCGAGCAGACATTTCCAGTATTCTCCGATGCCTTGAACTTTTGTGAAGATCAGCCTGGCAATGATATTCCTCCGGTTCCGGACAGAAGTCCCTCTTCATCTCCCCCCACACAAGAGCAAAATCCATCAAGAGCCGTCCCGAGTGAAACGATTGAAGATCTGCTGGTTAGCGGGACGACGCAAATGGGATCCTCATATGACGGAATGTCACACAGTACTCCGCCTCCGCGGCCACCGCTGCGACCCACTTCCACGCCAACTGATACCATATACACCAGGGATCAGCCTCCTGTAGCAGGTTCAGGTCCAACTAGAGGAAATCCTAGCCAATCCTCACCGGTTGAGTTCCCAGGTATTGCAAATGTCGTTAGCGTTCCTCACACGAAATACACCCTCATGGCTATAGCAGGGCTTGCAATAATCCTCGCATATCTTTAATGGCTCTCTTCAGGCGCATAATGGATTTTGTGTTGTCTCCCTGGCGTCGTCTTTTTTCATTTCTTTACCCTATACCACGACGAATATATTTATTCTTTAACTGAAAGTCAACGGGTTTTTGATGATTATTTACAGCGTCTGCTGGTGGTATGATACTGGATGATAAAACATAATGTTTGTTTTGGCAACTTCAATTTTCTCCCTGATTCCCTTTTCTGATAGCCACTTTAAAGCAAGTTGCCACACACCTTTTTCATTTTCTTCAGAATCTCTCATCTTCTCTGCTGCTTCTTTGTCAGTCATTCTCTTACAATGCATCATAATGTTGTCTTCTCCCATTATAAGTGTCTCACCAACCATTTTTTCTCTCATTAACTGAGATTCTGTTTAAAATTATCATCTGCATTGCAAAATGTGATAATAAGTTACTCAAAATAAGCTGAAATAGATATTTATACTTTATTCATGATCAGTTTTGCATAACTCAACTATTAACACAATTTTAATTCTTATTTAGGTTTGCGTCATATTTGCATCATAATACATAAAAACTGGATCATCCTTAAAAAGCTTTTTAATACTTTAATTATAAAGCAGATTGTTCTTGTATTGCTTACTTGTCATATCTGAAGTAGGGATACACTTTGATTCCAGATCATATCTAAAAAAGTAGATCCAGCTACATTTTCATAATTTTCTCAAAAAATTTATCTTTATAAGAAGTGCTATGTGTAGGGAAGAAGATACAGACATCTGAGATCATTTAAACACAATATAGATATTTATTACTTCTGAACAAAAACTGGCATGGCAAAAATCATGATATAAAAGAACCAACACCACTAATGAGAGATTTAAGTCCCTTTAGAATATAGTACATGCAGAAAACCCTGTAAAAGACGAAAATTGGAATGAAAATATTCACATTAAACTAAGAACTAGCGAGCCTCGACCTTCTTAGGTTTTATTTGCTTGACATGACCTTCCTCGACCTCCGCCTGTAGTTCTCCCAGAGCCTCTGAATACTTCTTTATGAAATCGGCCCATTGCTCGGTGAGATTGATCGTTACCTTCTCGACACTTCCTGCCCTTGCAACTGTGGTTTCAGGGCACTTCATGATCTCGTTGGAAAACCAACGTCCTTCCCTGTGCGCAACGAACGTCCATGCTGACCCAGAGTTCCCCGCGCGAGCCGTCCGTCCCACGCGGTGGATATATGATGTTAGACTTGCAGGGACATCGTAGTTCACGACGTGTGTAAGCGAGGGGAGGTCAAGACCGCGAGAGGCACAGTCTGTAGCGATGACAATGGAAATTTTGCCGTTCCGATATGCAGATAGCGTTTTCCGTGACGTAGTTGATTTATTAGATTTTGTCAGGGTTCCAATACGCTTGGCAAGTGGCGGGTGCATAAGCGCCAGCAGGAGGGCCAATCTTGATGCTGATTCGGAGGATTTCGTAAACACTAGAACAGAAGACACAGTCGGTACTTTATGGTCAGGGGAGTTGTTGAAGGTCATGGACGCTTCTGAGGTATCGGCACTAGAAGCTGTATCTGAGGCAGATGACGAATCCAAAATATTGTCATCGGGTAAACTTGGAGAAGGGCCGATGGAACCTGTGTCTGACGTGCTGTAATTGGATTGTTGTTCCGGAAGAGCGACAGCATCCTCCCTCTCGGATTTAAAATGGGAAAGCAAGAGAGCAAGGAGGTAGAGTGGCTTAGCTGCACCATCACCAACTGGAACAAACATTTCGCAAAGTGTGGAAGGTAACCTAAAGGCATGATTAGCGCTTGGAGCCATAGCAGCAACTCCACTCTGCTCTTGAGAGGCGAATGGAGTATCGTTGATTTCATGTGACTCAGGAACAACAAGCTTTGGATTTCGCAACCGTAAAGAATTAAGTTTGGGGATATCTCTTGTCACCGTGGCACTAAGGATGATTTTCTGGAGCTGGCGCCTATGGATTCGGCATCCTAATTGATTTAGAAAAAATCCACTTTTGCTGTTGGAAACGATTCTTTCCATTTCTAGTGCGGGGAAAACAACCTCAGTCCATTCTTGGAAACTTTCATTTAGTAGTCGGTCAGCCTCATCAACCACTAGCCATTCCAGATGTTCTAATGTGAAACCCTGAGTACATCGTATATGGTCAACAAGCCGGCCTGGTGTGCATATCAAGATATCAATACAAGGCGATGAAGTTGTAACGTGATTGGGAAGGGCTGTATGAGAGACATTAGCTTCAGCTATGTACTCCTGAACGTTGAACGCAGCCCAATCCTCGGAAGACATCGACTGTACAGATAACGTTTGACTGGCGAAGGGAGAATAAAGTTGGTCGCGCTTGATCAACAAAGCTTGTTCCTCCTTCAACGAGGTCGTACCAACGGCAGTTCCGATGCGGAGGCCAGTTCCGGTTGCACAGAGCTCACAAGCATCACGAGCCTGCTTAACTAGTTCCCTCGTAGGTACAATGACCAGTCCCCTTAATTTAGGTATGGCAGATTGTTCGATACCCTCCACCATTGGGAGGGCGTATGCAAGAGTTTTGCCAGAGCCTGTAGCGGCCGAGATGCAAAGGTCCCCTGGATGTCGATTTTCTCCCTTAGAAAGCAATTCAAAGACTGCAGCCTGGATCGGGAAAGCCCGGATATATCCGCGTTTCTCAAGAATTGAAACAAGCCTTGGGTTTACACCTAGGTCTGAGAAGTTTTGCTGTACTGAGACAGGGGCATCGAAAGGTTCAGTAAGCCAAGCGGGGAGGGTACTGTATGTCGGAGTTTCATTATCAACAGGAGCTTGGGCCGGTTGTGGGAGAGGTTCAAGTCCATGTGGGACAATTTCCTCCTCCCTGTTGTTATGGCTATTCGCAGGGTTTGATGCTCCTTTCTCAGAAACCGCAGACCGGGATTTGAACTTGGCCGTTTCAAACTTCGACATAATCCTAGCATGCTTTTTTGATTCCTGTTTATCTTCCGCATCATCATCCTGTTCCAATTTCCTTTTTTTACTGCCCTTTGTTGGTAATTCCATTCCGCATCCTCCATTTAGCTGTACACATTGATTCCGTGCACCGCCTATTGAATCTGTAAATGCCGAAACTTTTTGTTGATATCCTGAATTTCCACAGGTGTCCTTTTCCGTATCCTTGCTCTGTTTCCGCCCTTCTGGCGAATTGTATGTGGTCCGTATCCGATCCTGCTTCTTCTCCCTTGCGGACGGAGAAATATGACATTTAGCTTTCGAGCAGGGGTCCGAACCTGCCTCATGCGGCTTATCCTGGGGCCGTTGAAACGGTTCGACCAAGGAAAAATTATCCGATTTCTTGTTCTGTTCCTGATTCTTTGCCTTCTTGGACGGGTCGGCAACCGGGATTGAAGCATCGCTGGTCAGTGCTAGATTTCCCTTGCGTTTTGCCGATGCGGGTGGAGTGACAAAAATATCAGATTTTGATGAAAAACTATTCCTGGGTGGAACATAACGGGAATAGAACGAAGCTGTCATAGCATCTATGAATGGGGCGACACCCAATATATCAAAAACCAGCGTGGTTGTTCTTCCACGGTTAAATTCATTCCCGCATTTCAACGAGAAAATCAATGTTGGCCTAAGCTGGAGGCAGAAACCTCACCGCTTTCAACTTCATCCAGCTGAAAGTATGACGACTAATATGATAAATAACTAATAAATCATATCACCTAACGTATTTCCCAAGCGAGCGCAACATCAAAACCACCAGAGCTCAACTCATTAGATTTTAGTTCAAATTATCTCAACACTACAACACTCAATTAAATTACATGCAGTTGAAAACATCTTAATCTTATATGTCTGTGGAGCTCATTAGTGTGAAGCAGACACAGGTAGTAAGAACTTATAAGATTAAATAACTAACTATTCAATAGGCATTGTAGACTCTGCAGATGCTGCAGATAAAGCTAGAAGACTTTGAACTTTTTCACTTGTTAAATCTTCTACTTCTTGTTGAATTCAGTGTCTAGATCTCTTGCATTTTTACTTCTTTATCTCATTTATATTGAATATATTCTAATATTACTTTTTTATAATAATGATACTGAGCATCTCATATTTATAAATCTTAATAATTTGATTAAAATCTTTCACAAAGTCTTGAGACTGATTATTTATTAAGTCTTTAATATTATTTGACTACAGGTATAATTGCTGAGAATTATTAGATATTTAAAGTACTCAAAATATGATTGAATTACTAAAGCTGCTATATGAGACAATAGAAGTTCATAGTTGAATATTTAGCTACTGAAGAATGTAATCAGATTGAAAGAGCACTATTTCAACTATCTTGAAATCATTTTAAATAGTCTGAGACTTGAAGACTATAGTGTATACTGTAGAATAAGTATTCAAGAAATTTACCTTCTGAATAGTATTGAATTTGAACTTTATTCACTATTGAATTAAATTCTTATATGCTTATTTTAAAGCTGAAAAAACACTCATATCTAGTTATTGCAAAAGATGTAAAAAATGAAGTAGTATATAAAGATATATTATAGTATTGTTCTTGTAGATTTGATTGAATTCTAAAGTAAGATAATTACTATAATCATTCATAATAAGAAGAATAGATCTGTCAACTCTGTAAGAGTTTAATATTGAAATAAGTATTTATTGAAGTTATTTCAGATCTATTTCATCAATAGTTTAGTTATTTGAGCTAGTATCTAGTCTTCAGCCTTCTAAAAGGTCTTCAAACTACTTTTAATAAGTTTTTACTTTTGAGAATAATATATAAAGGTAGAGCTCATTTAAATATATTAACTAACTGAAATACAGTCGCTCATTCATGATTTTCAGGCTATAAAAGCTTTGCTCTACTATAGTACTTACTACTAATAATAATTTTAGCAATAGCACAAATGTTCATAGTAAATTCAATCTCATTAAAGTTATATATATCTTCTGATAGAATTTTATACTCAGTAATTATAACTTTCAAGATTTTAAATTAATGATTTAATTTACTGATCTTTATATTTAATTTATTTATAATTATAGTGTTTAAAATAATAATTTTAAAACTTTGAATTATATATTACTAGATTTAATATTTAGTTCATGCTAAAGTAAAAAGAGGAAGTGATAAAAGAAAATTAAATTTCATATAATAAAAAGATAATTAGCTGCATTTTCAATTAATACTGACTATGAAAAAATTTTTAATTTAGTCTAATTTAGTATTTATTTAACTACTTTTTTTTTCAGCAGAAGATAATTTGTATAAATTGTATATAAATTTATCCATAATTGCTTATCATTTATTTAATAGATTAAAGTAGAATAAAAGATATTCAATAAATAAATAGCTTTATAAATTGAAATAATTTCTTAATTTTAAAAGTTTTTATCATAAGTTTAAATTTTCTCTTTTTTTTTAGAAAATATAAAGTATTTTTATTGTGAATTAATAGTATAATTATATATTAAAGTAAAAAAATAGTTAAATTAAAAGATATTTTAAATTAATATTATATTTACTTTAGTGTTATACTTATTTGAGAAATACAATACTAGATTACTTTTATTTAAATTATTTATACTTATTAAAAAATTCAATTTGTCAACTACACTTATTAAAAAGACTTTTAATCAGAAAGCTAAACTTTTATTAATCATTAAAACTTTTATAAAGCTCAGTAAATTATAATAAGTTATTAGAGCTACTTTCAAATTATATAATATTTTTTATTTTTCTCTGATCTATGTTATAGCGCAGCTGCTTGTATATGAATTAAGATTGATCTACTTTAATTCTGAATTATCTTCACTTCAAAAGTTGATTCTATTTCTCTTTAATTATTTATTTATATTTAACTGCTTATT